ATTATGCATCAATTGAAAGAGGTAACATTTTTACGTATGCCTATGGTAAAAAAGAACTTATTCAGAATAATTGCTATATTCATAGTTTAATATTAGAGTTTATTTTTTTAAGGTATATGAAATATAAGGAGAATTATCTTCAGTAGAAAATGATCTACAACACTATCATCTAGTCGGAAAAAAGTACGAAGTAAACATAAGAAATTTATCAAAATAGTTTCTAGATTTCTTATTTTTTTTTTCAATATAGACAAAATCTTTATCAATATAGATAGCAAGAAAGAAAACTGTAGTAGGTCCTGATCCCCACTATCTCCTACTGATAGAAATAATGAATTTGATGCATTTAATGATATTTAATATATAGCTAAATTTTGTAAAAATGGAATCTGTAAAACAGTACATCATCAACAAACTGTATTAATAATTATATCACAATATTTATATATTTGAACAAATATTATGTTATGTTATTTATTTTCAACTTGTATTTATAATAAAGCAATATATGAGATCACATATTGGAATTGAAAATGAATAGTCCTATGAAACAGCATCATATTTTTATTTAATAAAATTAGATTATGATAAGTTTAATGTAAAAAAAGAGAACTTTTTAAAAAATTGTTCTATTAAAGTATAAGTGTTCGATATTTATTCTACATATCAAATACTGTTTTTTTTTTGTTATTGTTAAATGAAAATGTAATTTCTTATGGTTCGTAGCTTCACTGAATTTTACATGAAATATTGAACGAATATTTTCAAAGCTCTCTTCAATTAGAGAACAGATAGATAAAGCTGAGATATTTTATGGACTAAAACAAAGTTTATTTTAACTGTTTGTTTACAAATAAACTTCTAGAAAGTTTTCTTTATATATTTATGAATATTCTTTTTTTTAATAAAAATCATCAATTTTCTATTTTTACTAAAAGTTTCGAATTATATTGATACTAGAAGTAACAATGATCGTCGTTATATACTACACAACATGTCCCCATGGGGTATCTTCTCTACTAACATAAAAACATCTCATTTCAAAAAAGTAACCTTTTATTCATTGCTAGTTTAATCCGTATCCTTATCCATACTCACATCCACATTCGTTCACCACAGTGTCTGAAAGTCATTCAGGCGTGTCGAATATAGTGTATTCATGAAGCTGTTTATTTGAAAAGAGCTGAATTTTACCAAATACTATCGTTCAACTGTGTTTGAATAAAACAGATTCATGAGTTCTTGATTTTCGATGTGTCTGAATCATAGCTCAATCATGGCAGTGAAAATATTTGCTTAATCAGAAAAGAATGAAGTGATCAAAATAAATCTAAATAAGTCCTAATAAAATGCACTCTTTATACGATAGTGCAGATGAAACAATCCAAGAACATAGTACTGAATCAGTTGCACGGATCTTCCTAACCATGTGATACTTAATGCACTCCTTCGTGAGTTGTTTCCTTTACTTCTTTCTTGACGCATGCATCCAAAGTTCTCACTTTTTGCCGCAATAATGTCAAGAAGCAAATGTCAGAAAAGACTCCTTCAACTGCAAGAAACGCATTGATAACACCCGTTTTCTGATCTTTAATATGATTTTCTATTTTCTTACAGAAAGCCATTCAAAAATGTAAGTTTAATTGGGTACTACTCTCTTTGCCTATAGCTAGGACAGGTATGAATGGTTAATATAATTCTTTTCATAGTGAATTCTGCAATGGCTACTTCACAATTTCTTCCTAAATCGTTTCATTTCAATTGTCTAATCGATTATTCATTTTTCAGAAAACACAGATTTATCTATCAGTCGACATTGGCAACTTTGCACTAAATTTTGCGGTCAAGTGAAGCTCGAATAATCTCTAATCAGTTATGAGTGCTTTATGTGAAAGAAATTGATTTTTCTGACTATTTCTCACTCGACAAATAACACACATTCATCGATTCACAAAAGTAGTTCATAAATATTACTTGTATTCAGAAATTCATCTCTAAGAAATAAATTATATAAACTTTCAATGATGAAGAAGAGAGAGAACTGTTCGATTTAAGCATTAAAAGAAGTCTAAAGCTTGAGAAATTTTTATTCTATAAGTGTCTATTTTAATCGAAGGATTCTACACATATCCACATACTTGTTTAAACTAGGCGTTCATATGAGATGATTTATGTTAATCAACATTTAAACCTCGATTTATTTGAAAAACGATAAGTCTCAAAAAAACCTTAGCCAGTGATTCTTCAATTGATACGAAACACAAATTAGTTTCAATCTGCTGGCCTCCTATATATCACTCTATTTTTTTTCTTATATTCTAAACGACCTCTAATTAAGAAATATTACCATTTGGTTGTATTTATTTATTTATCTTGAAAAAGCTTCAAAAATTACAACGACATAAACAATTTTTGAGAAATTTTAAGTATAACAACGAAGTTTTTCTCACACGAAGAAAAAGTTCGTTGATTCAGACAATCGATACATATTTTCTTCAATATGTTGAACAAATGGTGCACGTTGGATTTTCTTTTCCAATTTTTTATATCACTTGAAAAACTAAAGATATGATATAGATCAAATTACTGTCAATTTTTTTTTTCATAATTACTTTTTCTTTAGAGCATCTAAAATAGATGTTTGATCATTTACTTTACTTCGTGCAAATTTAATTTCAGCATACAATTCAATATGAGGATTTGATAATACTACTTGATTTTTATCATGTTGAGCAAGTTCATTGTTTTTTTTATTGGTCTCTAATGAATTCTCGATGAATTATCATATCATCACAATAAAACAATATCATGTATTCATCAAACAATTCATTGTGATCAACAATGTCACGATTTACCAAACGGCCAGAGAATTGTTTGTTCATGTAATGCAGTTTATAAATATTATAAAGAAACATTAAAATGTGAAAATATTACTTTAAATTATTATTCACAAATATATGTTAATACCAAAGATGGTTTTCAACCAAGTGCAGTTAATAGATTGGATTGTCATTCAATAGATATTCTCTTTTGACTTACTATCATTATAGTCTTAGCATTGATGTAATAATAAGATATTGACTGGCGAAAATTTTATCATGAAAAATTATTTTTACCCTCTATCTTGTTTCTTTTTCTTACATGTTTCTGATCCTAATAGAAAATTGACTGATTGTAACTCGCCGTGTGAGCATGAGCCTCTCGAGCCAAGTTATGGGTCATAATTCGGTTCCAAAGGCTCATCGTCACAACATTTAAAGATTTGTCTAGTCGTATCGAAACCTCCCTCCTATGGATCCAATATGAATTCAAACGATGGATTATAGTTGGAAGACTTTCTCGTGAGCAAAGGCAAAATTAAAGAGGGATTTATGTAACCTTAATAACTTGACAAAGGTAATGGGTAGTGACTCGGGTGTGGGTGGGTGTGGGTGTGGGTGTTGTTATTCTCTTAACCGACACTAATCCATACTCCACACTCACACCATCCACACTCACACCCACACCCACAGCCACACGCCACACCCACACCATACACCCACAGACCCACACCCACTTTTTCACGGACTTCGTCTGATACCAAACTCATCCATGAGCAGAAAGAACTGCAACAAGAAATCACTATACATTTTCGAACAATATTGCGTATCAATCTGTTTCTATATACAAATACATTGACGGCAACACACGGAGAGGACGAGAAAAAACTTCCAGACATCATAAAAAGGAATTGAACGTGGCACAGCGTATACAATCATTTTGCAATGAGTCATTTTTTTCACCCGTTTCGTTGTCTTGTGACACCAGGGACAACCATTGCTAAAAGAAAAAGGAGCAAAGCAATCAAGTGAAACGAAAATAATGAAAGAACTCGGAAGTGACTAAAAATTAAAAACAAGTCAAAAGATCTAGAAAAAATAATTAACATACTATACAAATTCCAGTTATTTTATTTGTTTTCATTGATAAAAAGTCGCACACTATGAACAAAGCAAAAAAACCGATCACAACTGCTGCTGTTGTTGTCACACCATCTGAATCTACTAGGATAAGGCGACAATGGCATCCTCCTACTCGTACCATTCAGAACTTCATTCTGGTGTGGCTCGATGTCAATATCGATAATATCAACAACAGCGATTTCATAGATACTATCAGCGAATTAAGAGAAATGGTGAACAAATTACATCCATTCACTAATGTGAATGAATGCATTGATTTTGTAACCGATATTCAAGAAGAGAGAATATTTATGGTTATCTCTGATGTTTACGTGCAAACAAATCTTCCCATTGTCCATGAAATTCCACAAATCAATAGTATCTATATTTTAAGTGAAAACCAAGCTGAACATGAAGGTTGGGTCAAAGACTGGCCAAAAATAAAAGGGATCTTTACAGATATTGCTCTGATCTGTAAAGATCATCAACAAGTCGCACAAGAATGCGATGAAAACATGATATCTATCAGTTTCGTCACCACTAATAGTAAATCTACGAAGAAAAAACTCAATCAATTAGATTCCTCATTTATGTACACACAAATAATGAAGGAAATTTTATTAACCATCGATTTCAACCAACATCATATCGATGAATTTCTTACATACTGTCACGACGCTTTTGCTGATAATCTGTATCAACTACAATACGTCAACAAACTCGAATATGAATACCACAATCATCTCCCAGTTTGGTAGTATACGCACCCGTGTTTTTTTGTATTCGATCCTCAACCGGTCATTACGAGTGATGGAGATCGATTTTATCATAAGCATGGGGTTCTTTATTCGCAATCTCCACAATCACATCATCGAGCTTCATCAGAAACAATATGCTGGAAAGGTGCATATGAAATCGTTTACTGTGTTTCATGGTCAAGGACAGTCAAAGACACACTTTGATCGAATGTGCACGACACAAGGTGAACTTTTATCATTTAATAATTTTTTATCGATCAGTATGCACCGGTAAGTATCCCTCACTTTCGCTCGTAAAACTATGGAAACATCTGATCTTATTGGTATTTTATTCGCTATGCAAATTGGTCCATCGATTCCCTCCACACCATTTGCTAACGTCCGTGATATCAGTTATTTCAAAGGAGCAGAAGAAATTCTCTTTTCTATGCATGCCATTTTTCGTATAGGACCAATGACACAAATCGACGGAAACAATCGCCTTTGGCAAGTTGATTTAACATTGACCAGTGACAACGATCCAACTCTTCATGCACTTACAGAACAAATGCGCAAAGAGATTTATCCAGAGAGAGAAGGATGGGATCGTTTAGGTGAATTGCTAATCAAACTGGGACAGTTCCACAATGCCCAAGAGGTATATAATGTTCTGCTCGATCAAACAAATACTGATTTGGAAAAAGCATATATTTATCATATGCTTGGCAGACTCAACAATGGTCAAGGTGAATATAAAGCTGCGATTGCCTATTATGAAAAATCAAATGAAATCTATCGAAACAGTCTCTCACCAACGGATGATAGCTTAGCCGCATCTTACAGCAGCATTGGTTTGGTATATGAAAATATGAGTGACTATTCGAATGCACTTTCATCTCATCAAAAAGCACTGGAAATCTGGCAAAACAATTCTTCCTTCGAATCATCCTGATTTGGCTACTTACTACGACGTCATTGGTACGACATATTTCAGAATGAGTGACCGCTTGATTCCAGTATTATTTCTCAAAAAGAGGCTTGCTTCCTGGCAAAAATCACTTCCGCCAACACATCCTGCGATTAAAAAAGTGATAGCGAATATCAACTACGTAAAATAAGCTATAAAGGACGTGGGACGATAAGGCCATTTTTCTCCCCAAAAAATTTTTA